TGTTGCTAAATTTGGTGGCAATTTCCTTCTTTAGAAAAGGAACAATACAGGCAACAATGGACCATTTAACATAACATAATACGCAGGCAACAAGGGACTATTTAACATAACATAATACGCAGGCAACAAGGGACCATTTAACATAACATAATACGCAGGCAACAAGGGACCATTTAACATAACATAATACGCAGGCAGCAAGGAACCATTTAACATAACATGCTACGTAGGCAGCAAGAGACCATTTAACATAACATGCTACGCAGGCAGCAAGATCTAGCTGCCTGCGTAGCATGTTATGTTAAATGGTCCCTCTTGCTGCCTACGTAGCATGTTATGTTAAATGGTCCACTGTTGCGTGTATAGTGTGTTATGTTAAATGGTCCCTTGCTGCCTGCGTATTATGTTATGTTAAATGGTCCATTGTTGCCTGTATATGTGTTATGTTAAATGGTCCGACCATTTAACATAACATGCTACTCAGACAACAATGGACCATTTAACATAACACATTATACAGGCAACAATGGACCATTTAACATAACATGCTACTCAGGCAACAATGGACCATTTAACATAACACATTATACAGGCAACAATGAACCATTTAATATAACACACTATACAGGCAACAATGGACCAATAATATAACACACTTTACAGACAGCAATGGAGCATTTAACATAACACACCATACAGACAACAATGGAGTATTTAACATAACACACTATACAAACAACAATGGAGCATTTAACATTACATACTAACAGACAACAATGGAGCATTTAACATTACATACTAACAGACAACAAGGGTCCATTTAACATTACATAATATACAGGCAACAAGGGACCATTTAACATAACATACTACGCAGGTAACAAGGGACCATTTAATATAACATACTATACATAAAACATGGGACCATTTAAAATACTATAAAAACAAATAATATATAACTTAAAATAACATACTATACTGAAAACAAATGAGTTATTGTGACTTCGTCTTGTATTATTTGTAAATTATTCTTAAAGAATAGCCTAAAGACTACAGATAAAGAAGAGTGCAGATTGTAAGTGTAAGATTAATGAAAAGGCCTTAAAAACGACACAACAAATGGATTTAAGTTTAACCACGTTGATTCTTTACTATTCTTTGATACATCAACCTTTCGTTGTAGGTTTTAATTTCAAGCTTAATACCTGACACAGTTTAACAAGAACAACAAAAATAAAACAAAAACTTCTTTCACATTATAATTTAAGGTCCTTTGCGGCATTATTTCATATGATTAATGTTTCTTATGAAAAAGTTATGGCGAATAAACCCTATTTTTCTTTCTTTACTGGTCTTACCTGTTACTTGAACATGTGTAGGCCTCCACATCCTGACGTAAATATACACACTTTTAAAAATCCTGGACTAGTACTAGTAGAAGAACCGAGTTGCCAACAATTAAATTACAGATAACCGTAGTAAGAGAATAGTTTTCACGTGAGGTTCTTTAACGTCTGTCAAACAGATATGATTTGACGTAAATTAATAAACTCGGTCTTAACTTTCCGTTAACTTGATTAAATACGTACTCTATTTGAAAATGACAAAAATTGTTTGTCAAAATTCGAATATAATACTTTAATATAAAATTTGTAATTAATATAAGTTAAAAATTGTATAATAAGCTACTTAATTAATCCAATTATACATTAAAATAGATTAATTTCGAGCGTATAACACAGTTTTTGGGGTTAAAACTATTAAATCAAACTTAACGGCTAGTTACGCTAAATCGTAGAGTAAATGTACCACAAGAAACGAACTGTAACAAGCAAAACAAACAACAAGTAGTACGCGTCCTCTTTCGATGTATTTATAAACTACATATTTTGACGTTTTAGGTACGTGAGGTAATATTGATTTATTCGCAGAGAATATTTCGATTATCCAAGAAGATGACATTGAAAATTATAAATAATTATAATTTAATATATTTATAAATAATAATTCTATATTAATAAATACATAAACCAAAAAGATGGCCAATATAACTATATTTATTATAATAAAAATATCAAAATGCTTTGTTTATTTATTTTTGTTTATAGCTAAGGCTGTCTACCCCCCCCCCTCCTCCCTAATTTTGAACTGCTGATCAGAGAGAATGGAACATGACCGGCAGTACCCACCGCCAACTCTTGGACTACTCTTTTCACCAACAAATAGTGGGATTGACTGTACCATTATAACGTACACATGACTTAAACGGTACAGGGTTTCGATCCCGCGTCACGTAGATTGTGAGTCGTGTGTTCTATCTACCAAACCACGACAGGTCCTAAAAATGTGATAAGACGAAAACTATATAAACAACAAAGAGTATCAGGCCCAATATGAGTCATACTTGTTTTCTTTTTATTTTGTAATTCTTCTTACTCATTGTATTACTAATTTGAAATCAGAGATCGGAGTTATGAAAAATTAGAGTTCTCGATCTTCTGTTGTTGTTTTTTCTTTCCTCTCAAGTCATTACCTACGAGGCTTTTTGTTCAATACTGGAACATGCCAGCACAGCTGAAGGATTCTGGTATAGAACCAAAAGTCTCCTGAGGTATTTATTTTTATACGTGTTTGTTTTAAAATCCGTAATGGACTAACTAAGAGGAATTTGGGGGGAAGGTGTATTGTCTTCTGCTTTACTCTTTGTCATTAATATTAAACTGTCTGGTTCTATTGTAGAATCTGTAAAAAACAAAACAAAAAAAAAACGAAATTAGCACTTCTTTATAACTGACAATATTTTAACAATCTAGGTTTTCACACAAATATCACATAATATCATTTTGTTTATACATATTACGTTTACCTATTGTGATGCATTTCTTCATTGTGAAAGCTCGGGTTAAGTAAAGAGGTTTAAAATATATGTCTGATTGTGGCATTTATTTCAGATTACCTATTATCAAACGTAATAAAAATAATTGGCATTGCAAGTTAAAAAGCTTTCCCTTACAAGAAGTTAACTACTCCAAATTATTTGTGAAAATGCATTAAAATGTACAAATATACTTCTGAAAATGCATTAAAATGTACAAATATACTTCTGAAAATGCATTAAAATGTACAAATATACTTCTGAAAATGTATCCAGTCTCTTTATTGTATTCTCACGACTTAGTTATTCACATATTCAGTATTATTTCATTATAACCATCCTGGTCGAATTTCCTATTAACCTACGTACATATCCCATCACTTTTTAAGTAAAACCCATATTTCAGTGCTGTTCTTGCACACACACCCTTTGAAAAAGATAAACATTCAAGCCCATCCTTTATTTTTCAGCAATGACCTCTTAAATTTCCGAATAACGCGAGTATCCACAACTACCGACAGTGATTCATTCCATAAGCCAATCATTCTGTTAGAAAAATACAGGTGTTTTCACTGTAGCTTAATCCGTCTTTTCCATACATCCTTAAACTTATGCCCTCTTGTTCTAGAATCATCAGAATGCAGTGAACACACACACACACACACAATCAGAGGCCTTTATCGAGGAACCTGATTAGGACACTATAATTTGCAGGTCTCGGGCTCTAATCCTGTCACCGAACATGCTCACCTTTTCAGACGTAGAGGCGTTATAATATGATGGTCAATCCCACTTTTCTTTATTAAAGAGTAGTTAAGAGTTGGCGATGGGGGGTGTTACTAGTTGCCTTCCCTCTAGTATATCATTTGTAAATTAAATTAAAGTTGAAATCGAAACAAGTCATCACGTGACGGCAACGACATTGTGCCATCATGTACTATACTCGTTGCACCGAATAGTTTGACTAAACAAAAGACAGGAAAGGTGATTATGAATTGAAAAGCCAATATGTAATCCGGACTTTTCGCAGAAAGGCCTTTCTAATGATATAAGATTTCGCAGAAAGGCCTTTCTAACGATATAAGATTTCGCAGAAAGGCCTTTCTAACGATATAAGATTTGTTGCGCTTGAACGAAAGATTTGCAAGAAAAGTTCCGGACAGACAAACTGAAGCGTATTATTTATATAGATTCGTATGCATAATCACAAGTTTTCTAGGTCTCCAACAGTGTATTTCACCATACGTAAGACTTACCATACAGTATTAGTACAATATTTCTCTCTCTATATATATATATATCTAGCAGCTATATCTGAATATGCTGGTTGGTGAATGTTGAGTCAAAACTACACAATTGGTTATTTTTTCTATGTCCACTACAGGGAATCGAAACTCGCATTTTAGACTTATAAGTCATTAAGCTTAGTGCTGATTCAGTGGGAGACATCTCAAGAAACACAAGGGGTTTGAGCTTTTCTTTTTGCATACCCTCACATTCACAAACCTTTATTATTGTGTCGTTTGTTTTTTGTTTCTGTTTTTCTGTGAAGAGAAGAATCATCTTCTGTTTATTATATGTTTCTTGAGTTGCTTAATTTTCTTCTATAACTGTCTGTTGATAGAAAAACTCTAAGTCTACTATAAGTTATTTTGTCATCGCTAATAGTGCATTACTTAATTTGAAGGTTAACAATAACGGCCAAAAATATCGTTAACTGATAAAACCATGCATTCTGATCTTTAGAACAACGTAAGAAAGATATATCTAATTAACTGTACTTATTACCATTTTGATCTTTAGTTATGCTCTAGATAGGTAGTTTGCTCTTATCAGAAGTTAATGGTAATTATTTATCGTCAAAAATCTTTTATTTAATATTTTAGTTTATTTTATCATTATTGTTGTTATGGACTTTTTCTTTTATAAATAACTAGTTACAGTTTGATTGGCGAGGGAAAAAATATTAACCTGTTTATATTTTTTAATGTTTATTGCACATATATATATTACCAATTTATAAATTTCCAAGACATATCACAATTTAAACACGCCTCGTTTCCATGGTTACTGTCAGTTTGTTTAGTAAACTAACTATATAATTTGAATGTTGGTAGGCCTTAACTTTAATCTGAAAATTTTTGTATACGTCAAGTATAAGCTTCCGGTTTTTGTTTTTCTTATGATGATTTAAATCTATCTTTTATTGTTATTGTTTAATTCAGGAAAATTCTGTAAGATCATGTAATTTAGTAAGCTTACATGATTAGTCGCAGAAATTGATCGTTGGTCGTTAAGCCTTTAACTTTAAAGTTTAAGGGCTAAATGGTGTAGTAGAAGTAGAACTAGAAACGAGTCAGTAACTAATAGTTTTTTCATTTCATTTTCAGCTCTTGAACTCCATTTACGTCTCAGCTTGAAAGTCGAGTTAACCTAAATGCTATCATAATTTATTAGGTCTGCAATAATGATTCAATTAATAATTAATAATAATTAATGTTTTGTCATCATTGATGATGACAAAACCTTGTCGAAACATTGTACATTTGCTGTTATGTTAAACTTATATTAAAGTTTTTCTTCATTACCCATTCAAGCCGTCTCCATCCATTATTAGTCTCAAAGTGGGTTCCTCGTCATCAAACGTTTTAAGTAATTGGAACAAAGCATAAGAAAGTACTTCTGAACAATAGGCCTAAGTTTACATTCTGGGAATTCCATTATCATCTTCATTGTGAAGTTCGTGGTTTAAAACTTAAAGTTATGCAGTTTGAGATCCTAACTTAGGTCTTGTGAAAAAGTTAGTTTAATTTGAAATGTTTTTAATGGCTTAATTCTGCTTAGTACATTAGTTGTAATGAATTTATGAAAGATTTTGTATGATTGTTTTTATAAATAAATTGTTCATTGTGTATTTGTGTTGTAACCTTACACTAAGTTACAGAACTTTTTTTGACTAACGGTTGTTTTAAAGTTCTTACTATACTAACTTGGTACCCTTTCAAAACTTTATTGTATGTTAAAAGTAATCTGAATACAACTCCAAGAGAGAAGTTGAAATCTTGCTTATGAAATATTGCACAGTAAGATCAGAACCAGTTTTAGTGATTTTTTTATGATTAATTTATATATTCTTTGAATTTAAAAAAGAAATGTTCAATTATACCATAGTAACTCAACAATCTTTACCTATATAGTTGTGGCAAAGTTGAAACTCCAAACACCATATACCTTAAATCCTATAATGCAGCTTGTGTTATAAGATACTGTTTGACCTTTTATTTTTCAGGATACATTTCATGTTAAAACTGTGAAAAAATGCCATCAATTAAGAAGCAAGATTTAACAGAAAATGAAAAGTTTCCAAGGTAGGTTTTTCTGTTTCCTTGTTTTAAACAGATGCAAGAAGTGGCTTTATTTGGGAACTCATACATTTAAGGAAAATAGTAGCTAACATAACTTTATTTTACTAACAGGATGTTTGGCCTTTGGAATGAGTTGTCTTCAGATGTGGCAGATGCAGTTAATTTAAAGGAAGGCTTTAGAAATATTTGAATGATAACGGCTGACTTTGAGGGTTTTGTTTTTATTTTAGAGTTTAGTACTATTATTTTTATCAAGATGATATAATATCACCGAGTTAGAAATAAACCTCTCCTCTTGATGTTTTTATTTAGAATGACAAAGGCTTATCTTCATAAACTCTGTAAAGAATTGAAATTGTATGCTACTCCGTACTTGAACGATACCCTTTATCTTCATTACAAAGGTAGGTATAAGTTTTTAGATGATGGATGTGAATGTGTTTAATTGGCATCAAAGTGGTTATGGGGTTAACATTCCTTGTTGTTTTTATTCTGGCAACAGTGATAAACCATCTTCAGGGTAAATTCTCAATACTTTGTAGTTTAGCATGACCATAAGTTTGAATAGAAAGACTCCAGATGTTACTAGTTGTTATAGAACATTTAAAATTATTTTAAATATATATATATTTTTTTTCAGAATAAATATGTTACATTAAGTGTGTTTATTTAACATATATAATGTTTTAAAACAGCCATTTATGGGATAATACTAATAGATTTATTTCAGTACAACATTTTGATGAAATCAGAATCTCTGAGAGAAGTTAACTGGTTTGTCCTCTAACTCCTCCCAGGCATATGGTTTAATCAACTAAGAATGAATTGGGATGTGTCAAGAAGAAGTTATTTTTTATTTGAAAGTGGACAGATATCATAGTACCAGTGTTGGCTAGATGTAGATCAGTGGGAACTAATGGGATTTCTCCAGTTTCCTCTTTCATAACATGTGGTCTGTGTACTTTGAATCACTGCTGACACACTTAGGACAAAAACAGACGCTGTATATATTCATAGCTGGTACCAGTGTTGGCTAGATGTAGATCAGTGGGAACTGATGGGATTTCTCCAGTTTCCTCTTTCATAACATGTGGTCTGTGTACTTTGAATCACTGCTGACATACTTAGGACAAAAACAGACGCTATATATATATTCATACAATTGCATTTTGTTTTCAAATCCTATCATTCATTCATTGGAGGGATTTTTTTTCACATATTGTTTACACATACTTTTAAGGTAAAAATATATTATTTAACATAAGTGTGTCTGTCACTTTTTTTTGATAAAAATACATACAACTTTACATTGCCACTGGCATATTTTGGAAAAAAACAAACACATTTTTATATTTGTAATTGTTAAAAATTTCATCAATCATTTAAGGGACTTAATATTCACTGACATGATTTGTTAACTTTCATAAACCTCTCACTCTGTTTTACACAGATACATCTGTTGGTATGAAGAAAAAGCCAAAGAAGTCAGTGAAAACTACAAAATTTGAAAAAGTAAAAGTAAACATAAAAAAAGGAAACTAAATAAATGTTTAAAGCAACTAAAAGACAAAAGTTTTTATCAACTTTGATCTGTTATTTATTTTTCAGAAGTACAAATATGGGAATACCACAGTTATCTGGGACATCAAAATGAAACAAGAGACAATCCTAAATAGCTAATGCACTTGAAATTCTTTTAGGCAGGATTAGAGTCAATTTAACTATGAGACCTTTTTTTTTTCTTTTTATTAGCAATACCAAGCTTGGCACGTGCATATATACCCAATTCAATTTTATTACTCATCAGTATCTCTGCCAGCTTACCCTCAAATTGAAATTCTTTCAGGCAGGATTAGAGCAAATTAATCTATGAGACCTTGGGTGTAGTCAAATACATCAGTCAAAAGGAGTTGACCTTCTGAGTCCAAAACTGTAATTAGATCTCAAATTGGTCAAGAGATGACAGAGATATGAGCTAAAAGTTTGTACTTAGAAAAACAAACAAAAACACCCGAAGCCATTCTATGAGCCGCCATGCCACGGCTAAAAAAAGAAAACCCTAATAGCAGTAGGTGTAGCTTCGATCTAGAGTCAAGGTACACTAAAGTACTGATGGAAGAAGCCATTGTATCTGCAATAAATAAAATAGATAACAATAAAAACAAAGATATGAAAAATACATTTAGAGATATAAAACACTTCCCAGAATTAGGAATTAACAAGTAGTTTATGTTTGGAAGAAACTTCTAGACATAGAGAGGAGGTTTATAAATGGGAAGGTCATAATCTTCAGTATTATCAATGCTATTCCTTATCAGCATACAGACAAAGGCTATCAATACAGCTATATCTTCACCACTTTTCTGGTTTAGGTATGTGGATAACTGCCACCCCTACTTGTAGTAATGTGGACTTCTTCAGCCTATGATGTAATCGTTAGACTATAGCTCTTCACCAATAGAAGAGTGATACATTCTTCATGCATAGTTAACCATGAGTGCTTAGCATTTCAACATAGGTTCATTCTTTTCTCCAGCACTGGCTTGTTTTGATGTGGTGTTTCATCACTTTATTTTCTTGTAATGAGAAAGAAAGTTACCAAAGTTTAAACATTTCAGTTAAAACTTTGATTTGATTTACTTTAAATGTGATTTTTATTTTGTTCTCTTAATCAAATTTGCAGTTTTGCAACATGTGTTCCTCTGTCGGTGATGAGTTTCTTTGACGTTATTATATCTCGTTATTTTTAATCTAGTGCACAGGTTTACATTAAATACTTTTAACTTTGTCATCATAAATAATCCAAATCATTGTATCTTTCAGTCATATGTGCCTATCAATATGATTATTGAAACAAATAACATTTTAAAAGAAACAAGATTTTTCCAAGAAAACAAATTCCAGAAATTTCAAAAAGAATATTTGAAGATATTAAGTTAACTAAACATTCTGTTGTTGTTGTTTACATTTATTATTGTGAATAATATGTTTCTATAATTTCAGGATTTGGGAAAATTGAAAACTTGGAAGAATATACAGGTCTGAAATGTCTTTGGCTTGAATGTAACGGAATTCGTCAGATAGAGAATCTGGACCATTTGAAGGAGCTTCGGTGTCTGTTTTTAAATCAGAATTTAATCAGTAAAGTGGAAAACTTGGAAGGATTGGATAAACTCAACACTTTAAATCTGAGCAACAATAGCATAACTTGTATTGATAACTTGAGTATGAAATAAAATTGTACTTGTAGGTTAAGGAAGAAATCGTAATGAGCAAACAATATAAATTATAACATTAAAAATGAGGATTATAACCTTTTTGTGTGTGTTTGGTCCATCGATAGAACACATATTGGATTAGATGTGATCTAAAACATATTTGGTTAGTAGAATTAGATAAAAACAAATTTAAGGTATAGATGGCAGTAAGAGTTTTTTATTAGTTTTCAGAAAGTTTCAATGTAGAATACTCTATTTCCAGTAAATTAAATTCCCAGAAAAACTCAAAATAACAGCAAATATTATGAGAATGATATATATTATACTAGTATAAGCAAGTAGGCTTAACTGATAATGGTCATGCTATAGTAATTACTAATGAAATATTGTAACACTGAGTTTTACTAAAATTATGTGTTAGTTTGTAAATATGAATAAGAGTAAATTAAAATTAAATATTTTAACAGGTTGTTTACCAGAGCTCCATACGCTTCAAATCAGCCACAACCGTCTGACATCAGTAGATGATGTAGAACATTTGAAGGATTGTCATAACATATCTGTTTTAGATCTTTCTCATAATCGTTTAGATGATACCAAAATTTTGGATGTTCTCGGTGCTATGAAATCTCTGGTGGGTGATAATTCATAACTTCTATAGCAGTACTGTGACTAGTTAGGGATCATCACTTGAGTTTTATGAAACTTTTTTTTTATCTGTTTGATTTTTGTAATGGGGTAAGTTTGTTCTTTAGTTCCATAAGGGGGGAGGGCACAGATGATGGTTACTATATGCTCTGCTGTTGGAAAGATGTGAGAAGTCCAGCTAATGATAAAAGTAAGGGGTATACCCCCAACCCCCTATGTGAACTGTACAAAAAATAAATCAAGGATAACATAATAGTTTTAAAACGTTTCTCTTTATTTACTGCCGTAATGGATATACAAAACAAATGGTTTTTATTGATGCTGAACAAATTATTGGTATGATTTCACTGCATCTAATCAACTATCATTTTATAAATATATTTTCATAGCGTGTTCTGAATTTGATGGGAAATCCAGTTATCAGGAACATTAAAAATTACCGAAAGTGTTGCATCATCAATATGGTTAGTTGTTGTTTTAGAAAGCTATATTTATTTGTACTATCATTGTTAATTAATTGTTATAGATAGCGAGTGTGGTAGTTAGTATGAGCTGAGATAAAGTTTTACATAATTAATTTTTACTTCTTACAAGTAAACCAACTAGTAATTATGTTAGGTTAGAAACATTCTACTTGATCATTTGAAACGTGAATCCTTATCACAAGATTTAACTTTCTGATGCTATTTTTGCACGATTATTTTTTCTTACACACCATACATTTAATCTTAGATAAATAGTAGTGTTACATAGAATCTAGACAACTTTGGATAATAATGTTAGGGATTTTCCCTAAAATATCATCAACTGTTTGGTTTACCATGTCTGAGATTTCTGAAAAATACTATGTCTTAGAATCTCAACAGGATTTGGTCAACATGTTAAAGATGACCTTTGAAACTCTATGTGTGAGATTCCGAGAAAGTATTAGATTTCTTTATAATGTCTCGTCTATTGTTGATGAAAATGTCCAACAGCTTACTAGAGTTTTTATGTCTTTCACTGGTTATTTGCTGTCATAGTTTGCTATAATAGTTTGGACACTTAGTAATAAATTTGTATGATTTCTTATCTTATTTTGAAATAATTTAAAGCTAATACTATGCTTAGAATGTAAAATTTAATCCCTCTTTTTTTCTCCTTTTTAATCAACAAAGGCAATGTAATGTAATTGCAGTAAAGTTATGTGCACATATTGTTTGTATTTACCAACTAACATAACACAAGTTTTCTGTTTTTGTAACCTGTAGTAGTGTGTTCTAGTGTACATATTGTTTGTATTTACCAACTAACATAACACAAGTTTTCTGTTTTTGTAACCTGTAGTAGTGTGTTCTTTCAAACGGTTATGTTTGTATCTTCTTTCTTTTTTTTTTTATTATGTAAAGAAAACCCTGATGTACTTGGATGACAGACCAGTGTTTGATAAAGAAAGAGCATGTGTAGAAGCATGGTGAGTACTGTCCTTCATTCATCTATTGATGTAAACAAAACAAAGGTAAAACTTGAACACAGGACAACCACTGTTCTATGGTTTAGTTAAGTTGTCCAGGTTCTAACATGTAAATAAACCAAAAGGTAAAACTTGAACACAGGACAACCACTGTTCTATTGTCTAGTTAAGTTGTCCAGGTTCTAACATGTAAACAAAAGGTAAAACTTGAACACAGGACAACCACTGTTCTATTGTCTAGTTAAGTTGTTCAGGTTCTAACGTGTAAACAAAACAAAAGGTAAAACTTGAACACAGGACAACCACTGTTCTATTGTCTAGTTAAGTTGTCCAGGTTCTAACATGTAAACAAAACAAAAGGTAAAACTTGAACACAGGACAACCACTGTTCTATGGTTTAGTTAAGTTGTCCAGGTTCTAACATGTAAACAAAAGGTAAAACTTGAACACAGGACAACCACTGTTCTATTGTCTAGTTAAGTTGTTCAGGTTCTAACGTGTAAACAAAACAAAAGGTAAAACTTGAACACAGGACAACCACTGTTCTATGATTTAGTTAAGTTGTTCAGGTTCTAGCTTATGTTTAAATGCATAAGCTAAACAACCATGTCAGGGATTCTTAATGACCTAGAATAACCAACACAAATTTAGAACTGTTGACTAGTGTAAAGACAAACAGATAACCACAGTTGCTACCTGTACAGCTACTCTCAGGATTAGCTGTCATCTCCAGAGGTGAAAGTTAGGGGTGTTTAGCAGTACATTTTGGGTCAAATCTTCAACATTCATTCTTGTATTGTTCAGTCCATGCTATTTGTAAATCACTTGGTGAATGTGTAGCTTACATTACCATATTGAATGACACAATGCACAGGCTGCTCCCGAACGTACTTTGTGAAGAATTTTTATTATCTTACCTAATCTAACATTATCTAACTTAACATGTTTCCAATTTTTATATTTAATTTTTTTTGTAATAATAAATAAATAATATACATGGAAAACAATAAATTTATCACTTACCTGTGACCTCTTGTTTGTTTTTTTACTGTTGGTTGCTTATTTAATTTAAACCTTTTTAATTTTATACTAATTATACTATACCATTTCTACTTATTTAAATAATGCACCTAATAACACAGAATAATAAGCACCCACAAAGCAAACAGCATCATATAACTATCATGATTTATCTGGCTTTCTAACTATGACATAAGAGCTTTTAAATCTTACCTTAAACTTCTTGATATGATCACCACAAGAGAAACTTTCAAACAGACAATACTCTGTGTGGAAAACAACATAGTATAATATATTATTTGATAGATTAAAACTTTGGCTTTCTATTGGTTATACATAATATAGTATAAAATATCATATAGAACTATTGGCAGTTGGTGAAAATAAGCAGGTGGGTCTGATTTTATAGTTTATCATTATCTAAAGAAATCAGATTAAAGGCAATAAAAAATATGATTTCCTTTAATAATATCTACTTTACCATGAGTAATCTATGTTGAATTTCATAATTCTCAGAGGGGTGGTAATTAAATTTGAGATGATCAGGGGAAGACCTAGAGAAACAAATGTCACAATTCTCATATATATTCCTTTATAAAATTAAGAACTTAAAATCTATATAATGTTAAAATTTGATTTATTAACTATGTTTTTATGTTATGTTTATTCATAGTTTAATTAAATTTTGAATGTAACTAAAAAGTCGTGACATGCACACTTTGATCTATCTGTAATGAAAGGGTTAAATGTTTTTCTTTTGTTGACTGAACTATTTTCGGTAGTTCACCGTCATTCTCATATAAGAAAGATATGGCTTTATAAAACATCGGCATTTGTAGGGCTCAAGGAGGAAGAGAAGCTGAGATTAAAGAACGACAGTTCTGGGTCCAGAAGGAACGTGAACGAATTGAAAGAAGTGTCCAAGGTAATTAATGGATCTCCCCTTTTAAAAGAGGTTAGGAAAACCAATGATATTTTAACTGTTTGACAATGTGGATTAGAAGTTAACAACTTGTATGCTCCTTCTCAATCACAGAAATTAGTAACATTCACACACAGACATTGTTTTGATAGACATACCAGATAAACTAGTGTTTGTTTAATTTGGTGCACTCACCTACTACTTTCTACTTTTTGAATTGATAACGGTAGTTCAGAACTTTCCAGCCATGTTTAATACTCAAGCCAGATGTATCATTTTCTACTGGATGACATTTCTAAGTTGTCACGTTCTGTGTCATCACCCTACAGTGTAGGTTATTCTCGTATAAAGGGTTTTAACGTTACAAAACTTTCTATCTGTAAAGTACATTAAGTTTAAAATTTAGATTTTTCATTAAGTATCTTTGCAGCTTTATATGATTTGAGGAAAGAGAAGGAAGCTGACCAGAGCAAAAAAGGTAGTTGTGAAGACCACCAGCCATTTGATGTTGAACCCAGTCCTGCACACAATATTATTACCAGCAGAGACTTGTTGACACCGAAAGACACTCCACATGCAGCTACTTCCAAAGTTGGCAGTGAAAATGATATACCAGATTTGGAATTTGTAGAGACTGCAGTTGGTATATCCAGCGTGCTTTGTGACCAGTCTACAGATACATCATTTGGTGATGACTCTGTTGTTGTTGGTGACTTAACTACAAAGAACCATACTGTGGTAGAGGAGAATCGTGATGTACCTCAGATCAGTGCGGATACTTCGTGGAAGGTGGACTATAATAACCAGAACGAAGGAGAGAACAGTAACAGTCTTGAGACACTTAATGTAAACCAGGATACAAGCTCTGTTGTTGTTGGTGACTTAACTACAAAGAACCATACTGTGGTAGAGGAGAATCGTGATGTACCTCAGATGAGTGTGGATACTTCGTGTAAGGTGGACTATAATAACCAGAACAAAGGAGAGAACAGTAATAGTCTTGAGACACTTAATGTAAACCAGGATACAAGCTCTGTTGATAATAAAGATGTCGTCTCTTCATCATTGTGCTTACTCAAGTAAGGTGGTTTTAAGTTCTCCTTTTTTGTTTATTTTATTAGTGAAATGAAACCAGGGTATATTATTTTCTTGACACTTGTGTATAATGTTAAAATAATAAAGAACACACAATGTTCATATCGATACACAATTAAAACACTTCTAAAATGTGGACTTCACATGTTTCAATGTTTACCGCATCATCATTCTGTTGGTTCTAGAACGTTGTTCTTAACTGAAAGAAATACACAAGTTAATTCAACTTAAAAATGAGAAAAGTTTGTTTTTATTTTGTTATTGGAAAATAGGGTAATTTCTGCATAATTTACATCATGAATTGTCAATACAGTATTTAGTTCATTTAAATTTTCCATTTATTTACTTCCAGGTTATAATTTGGTTAGGTAGTTCAATATTTTGTGAAAAAAAAGTTTTATCATTTATATGAAGCTCAACTAGTAAATTACTTGAGTTATTATATATTTACTGTTTATGTAGCACATAATCAAATCAGAGAAGACAGAGAACATTTAGATTACATAGTTAGATGAAACAGATATGTATGTCTTCTTAACAGAACATTTAAATTATATAGCTAGATGATACAGATATGTATGTCTTCTTAACAGAACATTTAGATTACATAGCTAGATGAAACAGATATGTATGTCTTCTTAACAGAACATTTAAATTATATAGCTAGATGAAACAGATATGTGTGTCCTCTTAACAGAACATTTAAATTATATAGCTAGATGAAACAGATATGTATGTCCTCTTAACAGAACATTTAAATTATATAGCTAGATGAAACAGATATGTATGTCCT